AGGCCATCGCTTCTAGGTTGGAGGCCATCGCTCTTAGGTTGGAGGCCGTCACTAGTAGGTTGGAGGCCATCACTATTAGGTTGGAGGAGATGGCTAGTAGGTTGGAGGACATCGCTCTTGGGTTGGAGGCCATCGCTATTAGGTTGGAGGACATCGCTAGTAGAAACAATTAAAGGAATAAAGGAAGAACAGTCTGAAGAGCTGAGGCATTCTCCCTTGCAATCAGCAAAAAATGCTCTGCAAATTTGCAAGCAATGCTCTCGTACCTGAGGTTGTGTTCAATTAATGCGGGCTTTGTGAAGTGCTTTTTGCTTTCATTTGGCTCACACAGGATTGTTCAATGCCAGTTCCAGTGCCATCCGCATCAGTGTCAGACCTAGCACCAGAAGGTGGCAATTCTATCAGGCAGAAAGGAGCAAATTAGTCCAACATACAAGAAACACACAAATGGCGTCTTGCACAAAGAACAACGATTTGCACAAGTAAGTGCGCACTGTAAAACGCCATCCAGCTCGTGCCGTCAGACTGGTTGATCATCCCACCTGAAAGATTTATCAGATAGAACAGCCGTTGACGCCAAGGAGCAAAAGTTGTGAACAGAAGAAACTACTGCACGTGTTGCAGGTGTTGCTTTGTGCTCACCATTTGGAAAAGGTTGGCTTCTATCCACAACTCCGATGTTGTCCAAACCTTAGAGGACTCGTCTAGAGTCTAAACTCCTTGCACTGAAAACAAGCTGTAACGCAGAAACTTTGCTTCAGCACAGAACATCACCAAACCATACAAAGCCATACAAAACCCGTGAATCTCAAGCTGCCAGCCCAGAAATCCTCCTTGAAAAATGTTCCTGCAGAGATCAACATCAAACGCATCCTCCTTCCGGTGTAAAGGTGGGAACATTAGATGAACGGCTTCAACAGCAGCCCATGACCGGCTTCTCGAACGAGAACTATGACCAGTCGCCTTCCCTCGGCATCCTTCCGATTCACCCACCACTGAAAGTTCAACCTAAAGAATGATCAACTGAGCAATTTGCAAGCTTGCTTCTTTGCTCCGTTCGTAGTGATGCCAGGAGCCCCTAGTAGCGTCCGAACGCTCCTAGTAGTAAGGCCAGTAACTTCTCCTGTGCTCACCAACTTCTCCTGTGCTCCCGGCATCATCTTGTGGAAGAGCTCTTCCAGGAAACCTCTTTTAGCAAGCACAAATAGCAAACAGCGGATTCGACCATACATCAGCGAGGCGCAGTAGGGGTATGGATTATGGATCGCTTGTGGGCCTGGAGCCTTGATCCATACTTGCTACTAGTAACGCCCTTTGTTACCAATAGCGATGCACCTGTTACTAGTAGCGTCCTCTTGTTCCTAGTAATGCCAGGAGCTACTAGTAGCTTGATGAATGTCTACTAGCAAACCCCAATAACAAAAATGGCCGTGATTAGACATATGATGGGTGAACATTGGAACAAATTGAGCCAACAGAATAGCACGTCCCCGAAAGTAGACTGTGAACAACGGTCAAAACTAAGACACCAAAAGACTGACTTGCTTTCACACGGCGACATATATTATTCTAGGTGTTCTGCTCGTCCAGTACGTCGTTAAAGTGCTTACTTGGCATCAAACATGTACCATTATACTATCTCTTACAGGGTTCTTCATGGAAGGTCCTTGCTAAAAAATCGCCAAACTCTCTCTAGTGATCCTTTAGCGTAGCGATGGCCGCCTCCAACCTCAGAGCGGTAGCCTCCAACCTAGTAATGATCACCAGGCTTGCCCACCTAGGTCGCCAGCATCACCACGGTTCTTCCGATCCATCTGGAAGACGCGCCAGACAGCCCATGCCTGGATGCGCATGGCATTGCATGTCATGGCGTTTTCCGCAAACAGTGTGCTATCGTAGGCAGTGCGTGCTACTGCTACTCGTCTTCACCAAACGATGGGCATGTCCAAATTTTCATATATCTCGGGATTCCTGTGCTGCTGAGTCATCTCAAAAGAGTTGCAACCCATTCTTTGTTTACCTCCGTAATTAGCTCTGTGCTAATTATGGCACGTCGTCGGGGAATTACTGTCCTTTACGATGAAACCGATCAAACCCTTCCAGGCACATCACAAAGGACCAAGAGCTACTAGTAGCTTCTTGCTCCTAGTAGGGATGCCCTTTTCTCCAAGTAGCGACTTGTTATTAGTAGTTTCTAGCTACGAAAAAGAAAAGGTCAAGTCGAGTTCCCTGAGCTTCCTGACATGAACTGGAGGGTTCACGTCGTTAAAATTCCATTCATAAGCAGGAAGCTGGCCGTTGGGATGCATGAACCTCACCAAAAGAACGAGACGCAGTAGGAATATGCCAAGCAACAAAAATACGGACGGAATTTGGCCTTTCAGAGGTCAATAGGCGCAACTGCTCCTCGTCACATCGGTTTGTTCTTTTACAGACGGGGGGGTAGGCCGCTAGAGGTGAGGTAGGAAGTAGCAAACGGTAGATAGCTAGCTAGTAGGAGCAAACGGTAGCTAGGCTAACAAGTGCATCGCTAGTAGTAACAGGTGCCACGCTAGTAGTAACAAGTGCCTTACTAGTAGTAACAAGAAGCTAATAGCTACAAGAACGCTCCTACCAAACGGATGCAAGATAGCTCACGCTTCTTCAAGGAAGTTTTGTGTGACGCCCTAAAGGCGGCGGGGGAAGCTTCCTTGAAGAAGTGCTCGGAGTAATGTATGATTTGTTTCCTGGAGTTTAAGAACATTTAACTGGTAGCGGTGGCCTCCAACCTTTTAGCAATGGCCTCCAACCCTTTTGTTTGCACGTTTTTGAAGGCTTAATGACGCTGCAAATGTTTCATCCTCCTATTATATAAGCCCGCCAACACTTCTTTGGCATTCAATGTTTCATTCATCAACCAATATCATAAAAATGGTGCGGTGCTGTCCTTCGCAAAAGTCGCATCCACCAGGGCCAAAGGTAAGCAATGAAAAGCTAAGTCCTCAAACGCACAAAACCGACTCCGCCTGGATGTCGTGTATGTGCTACAACTACTGTGGTGTTCTGGGGGACAAACCCAAGTGGCGTACCAAGGATATTCCCACTTGTCCTTGGTCAATGAAAAGCATCAACCAACGTGTCAGCGTCAAGTTTGTCGAGTCATAAATGTTTGCTTTCTCGTTTTTCATGCCAAACATGCAAATATGTCTATGCGTCATTATGTCTCTATACGTGTCTTCCATTCCCACCGGCATCGAGATCACATCCAAGTTGTAGAGGTGATCCCAGTCTTCGTTGCGACCTCCTCTGTGGAAGAGCTGTGTGAAGTGTTGAGGTGGTTGTCCGCTTGTAAATTGCATACTGAAAAAGAACAAGGTGTTCCTTTGTTAAATAGAAAACAATGTTTGGTTGAATATTTGTTTTTTTACTTGTTCCTTTGTAAATTGTGTACTGGGCCGCAAGCCGCGACTTGGTGGCTTAGGATACCCTGAATCGCCTCGAACGCAATTGCAATTGTTCCTACATGGACATGGCCTCCAACCTAATAGCTTTCAACATAATGGTGTTGCCAAACGAACGACATTTCTGGAGCTATTTGGAAGCTGCCTCCAGGAGTCTTAGTATGGTCTGCCAGCCGAATTGTAAACTTGGCAACATCAAGACATCCAATCACTTTCTTTGGGGGAAGCCCTCAAGTGCCTTGTACAGAAGCATTGCGGTGAATGGTGCAGTCTCATTCTACGCACTTGCTTCGCAGTCTTTTCTGCGCGCCTTGCAGCCAAGTACGGATGTCATAGTAATACAGCCTTGGGCAAGGCCAATAGTCTGAATCTGTCCACTCTGATTCTGCCAATAGTCTGCCAAGCAGCTGCTTTGTCCAAACCATCCCTGCAAGTGCCTGAATGGCAAGGGTCCTAAATCTTGAACTTCAAGCTTTGCAAATCTGAATGTACCAAATTATATACCCCATGACTGCTCCGGTGTTGTATGCTGTTCCGATGCAATCTTCAAGGAAAAACAAGGGAAGTGAGGGTTATCGGAGAAAAGGAAGGAAGAACGAAGGGAGGAACAAAGAAAGGTCTTTAAAAAATAACGAAAACGGAAAACTGGTCTAAAGGTCTAAAGATAAATTTAATAAACAAATTCAATACCCCTGCGGAAGCCTAAGGACTGGAGGATTGAGTATCCCAGCACCTGAATACACGTAAAAGCGCCTCAAACAAAGTTTATCCTCTTCTCACCCTAGCGATGGCACCCAGCCTACTAGCGATGGCCTCCAACCTACTAACGTTGGCCTCCAACAAAGTGTTTCCTTTTCTACCTTGCATTGTTATCAAGTTTGGACTTTCCCATTTTCTTACATGTTCTTTTAACTCCTTCCCAAAATGTGTACCCAGACATGGGTCAAGTCATTTGGTCACAATGGGTGGTGAATGTCTCGTATTCACATGAGATTAAGTTGGGGGCCCTGTGCACCTCCGCATTTGATGGCCGACAAGCTACAGTGGGAGGCCATCGCTATTAGGTTGGAGGTTATCGCTATTAGGTTGGAGGTCATCGTAGCCAGAAGAGTCAGCTGAGACTTTTGGCTGCGATGGCTGAGGTGCTTTTGCTGTTCGCAGTGATGTCTGCCTTCCTAGTCGCCTGCACATTTTTTTTTGCAACGCTCATCGATCAAGCCTTTCAACTCTAGTTAATTACTTGCATTGCTTAAGACTCTTGCCTCGAATTGCAATCAAAAACCTCATGATTTAGGGAAACGCCTGCTGAATTGACTTGCTGACAAACCTGCCGGCCCAGCATGCTTCATGCAGGTAAGATGCCTTGCCTGCCGGTGAATGAGTCTTCGTTCTTCAGAATGTATGTCATCTTGGAGGAACATATAGAACCTGAGAGTGTCTGCGATGTTTACCAGGAGTGTGAAGCACCATACAGTGCCATGCAGTGCCCCTGCAGTCCGAACCTGTCTGCATCTTCTCTCCGGTGTTGAAACATCATGTTAAAATCAGCGAAGGCGCTCCTGTCAAAACCTCATGTGGGCACATGACTTCAAGTCGAGGAGGATGGATGCTGAAGAATCATCTTGAGACACGGGCTTTTGCTTGAATGGGTCAGGCGCAGTCTTGCAGTCACATGACTGCCTCCGGCCACTTTGTGCCTCACTTAGGAAGCTCAGTCCGGTTGAATTGAAAGCTTCAGCCACAACAGCAGGACCCTGACCTTTCCTTTTCTATAGACCTTTGTTGTTTTGTTCCCATTTCCTTTCGAGGCAAGCATTCACGCTACTGCTTGGTATTTCCAGTAAAAGAGCCCTCTTTACAACATGACAGTAATCCTTTCTGCCTGTTTGGCCGTGCCCTTGACAGCTGGATGTTCCAAGATGTCCCAAGGCCTTGTCAGCAAGCCTACCTTTGTGCCGCCACTGCTTGACACCGCTGCCTGTTTGGAAACGTTGGAAACGTCCACGTCTTTGCATGCACCCGCGTAGAACTCTTGAACTGCGTTTTGACTAAAGAAAAACCTCGAAACAACTGCATGATTATCGAAACAACATGTGCACAAACCTTGAAACAACATGCTCCAACGCCTTGTCTCCACGGATCACATAATCGTGGAATCCATCCTCTTGGACTTCGACAAAGGCTCTTGTGGCATCGTGCTTCTCTGGAACGGCATGCTATTTATTCATTATTCATGTCTGAAAAGAACAAAGAAGTCCCTTTTATCTTCTTTTGTCTAGGATGCCATCGATCTTAGGTTGGGAACCCATCACTATTGAGTTGGAGGCTACTCGTGTGATCTTCTTTTGTCTTTCTTGTAACAAGAAGCTACTAGGGGCTCCTGGCCTTACTACTAGGAGCGTTCGGACGCTACGAACGGGGCTCCTGGCATCGCTACGAACGGAGCATTCTTGCTACGAACGGAACAAGAAGCTTTAAGATTCCTTTTGTTCTTTTTCCTTTGAGTCTTGTGCCTTGAAGTGCCCAGTGCTGCGGCCACTCAAATGAAAGCGGTAGCCCTGATCTTTTCCGGTTTCCTGAGCCTCAGGCAAACTCTGATCCATTTTAACGCTTTTTTCACATACATCTTCAAAAAGAAGACCGACACATATCGGTTCCAAGACTGATCAATCCAAAAGATCGTCATAGACGGAATCGGCTTGACGAAGCAACGGAACTCAGCTCTTTCCACAGCGTTTCCACCTCAAAGGCCCGGACTCCGTCAGGAGCAGGTCCGAGGCGGGTCTCAAAACGGCGATGAATCGCATGCCACCCCGCTGCGCTGAGGACGCGAAAGTCGCCCAACTCTTTGAGCGTCTGGAGGCAAGGTATGGCCAGGTGCATGGAGGAAGCATGAGGAAACTCAGAAAGATTTAAAACATGTTGAATCCAAAGAAGTCATTCTTTTGTTGGGGGAGGTTGACCCGGTAAAGAGGAGTTAGCTTACAAGTAGCCAACACGTCAGATGCAAGACCAGTAGCTTAGGTAGCTTCCTAGGCTTAAGGACCTAGGACGCACCCTCTGTTCCTGCTTCAAGGAAGTTCTCTTCGCATGATTGATTTGGTTCCTGGAGGCGTCTCAGTTCAACCTGTTTATTGAGTTCACGAGGCGAAGTAGCTTATTGTTTCTACTAGCTTCTTGTTACTACTAGTAAGGCACTTGTTACTACTAGCGATGCACTTGTTCCTAGCGACATAAAAACCGAGCGCCTTTAGGGGGAACCCAAGACTGACTTGCCTTTGCTGGTACGCGAGATAACGCAACCCACGCTGAAACAAAAGGTCCCCAGGCTCCATGATCGATTGGTTTGGCCATTGCTTTAAAGATCTACAGTAGCTCTGGCGGGGTAGGCCCAAGGAAGTAGCTACTAGTAAGTAGCCCTACTAGGCTTGGAAGCGGAAGGGCTCGGGCTTAAATGGCTCGGTTCCTATATATATATATTATATAGTTTGTTTCTTTTGAGACCATTGCATTGGTTTCCTCTACCAAGCTGTGTAAGATCAACTGCCTCATTCTGCGAGACAGGCTCGGATTCCTGACGCACCAACTCATCCATTGCATCGCAAACATTGGCTTCAATGAAATAGTTTGGCACCAACAAGCATCGCTTCTAGGTGGGAGGCCATTGCTACTAGTAGCAAGGACGCTACTAGGGGCTCCTGGCCTTTCTACTAGGAACAAGAAGCTACTAGTAACACAGGGCATCGCTACTAGGGCATGGAGGCCATCGCTTCTATTCGGTTTGCTTCTGCATCGTTTTGGCCAAAGGAAACACCGACGGCCTTGTAGGGGCTCAAAGCACCGAAGGTTGCTCGAGCATCATGGGTGTCATTCTCGCAGAAAATCACCTTCACCAGAGCGAAGTGTGTCTCAATTGGAGCTTCTCGACAGCTTCGGAGCTCAAGAACATGGAGAAAAGCAAGACATGGAACCATATGAACCCGTATAAAAATAACACGCCCGTTTGTTATCTTCTAAGTCCACCAAGTCCACCTTGTTTAGCCTTGTTTTGTTCCATTCTTCTTAACGATACCTGAATTGCCTTGGCCAGAAGAAACTGGTGGCAATTCAAAAGGTACAACCAAGAAGGCTTGCCTACCATGCCAAAATTACAACTCAACTTTCTCAGGTGGAAACATCTTGAAGGCGTGCCAAACATATCCTTGTAAAACGTACAAATGAAAAAAGCTCTTGTAAAGAGGTAGAGTCGCCTTTTTGTCTTTTTTGCGGGGATAAACTTCAAAGTAGACCAATGGTACTTGATGGTACGTGCTTTGTTGCTTGAACAACTATGTGGAACTAGGGTAGGGTTAGGTCGGAAGTAAGGCGGTATGCTGAGCAAACAGAACATGAGTTCAATAAGAAGAATAGCTTCTTCATAAGATATGTGTTGCTTGCTAGGTGTTTAAAGAAGAAAAATGTCACTGTTAATCTTGGCACCGCGCTTCCTTCAACATGCAAACGTGACTCCCAACATGAAAAAAGGGCCATTCAACACAGCACTTTTGTGTCACTTGTTGTATTGACCTTGTGAAACTGTTTTGGTTCTTTCGTTCAAAAGAACTCGTGGGTGAAGATCTGTCCATCTAGCCGTAGCGCTGTAGGGTGGGTGTGGCTGAAAATAACGGTCCACTAAGCATGCAAGGCTGCACCAAAGCAACATGAAAACGGGAGCAGCTTTCAGGATCACTGGACCAAAAAAGCTTTCTTGACATCAAGTTGGATACTTAGCCAACGTAGTATTGCACTTTTGTATCTCCGTTATCTTGCTGCACTGAGTCCCAGTTGTGACAAAGCCGTTGGCCCGCCTCTGTGTTTTCATCCACATAGAGGTTGTATGAGCCAAGCTTTTCGTGCCTGGAAGCGTTGTTGTCAAGTACACGCTGTCCATTAGCAAGAAAACACGTTTTACATCTGTTTGGCCGGTTTTACCGAACGCAGCACGGCTCCGGTGAAACATTGCGCTACGAGTTGTTTTCTGCCTCCAACCTACTAGCGATGGCCTTGTTACTAGCAGCTTCTAGCTACTAGTAACAAGTGCATCGCTACTAGTAACAAGTGCATTATTACTAGTAGCAAATAGGTACTAGTAGCAAATAGCTACTAGTAGCTTCTAGCACTAGTAGCTTCTAGCTACTAGTAGCGATGCACTTGTTGCTAGTAGCTTCTAACCTAATAGTGATGGCAAACATTGCACCATAGAACTCTCTTTGAGCTTGTTTACTTTGCTGTCCCGGCTACGGGTAGCAATTACAATACCGGCATACACTAGTAGTAGCTAGCGGAAGTAGGAAGTAGCAAGAGCGAAACAACAAACAACATCGTCGGTTGTCAGAAACCCTTTTGTGGAATGAGAGGCTCCAACTGACCCATGTTGTCGGTTGCTCTTGGAATAAGAAAAGAAGCGAGTGTAAGTATGTCTAAAGAAAACAGAAGACAAACAGAAAGAAAGGAAGAAATGCCGTAGAGAAAAAATAAACACATGGAAAGAAAAGAGAGTCTAAAGATTTCAATAGAACAAACATGACAAATTGATTTACTTATATAGTGACTCCAACTGACCCATTTCGTTGCATGCTCTTGGGATTAATCTCGCCCATGTGTCGTGAGGAAATCCGCCTCAAGCTTTCAACTTGGACATGTGTTGATCTTGGTCTTCAACATCACACAATCAGATTTTGGTGATCAAGCCAGGAGCCCCTAGTAGCTTCTTGTTTCTAGTAGTAAGGCCAGGAGCCCCTAGGAGCGATGCCAGGAGTTTGTAGGAGCGTCCTTGCTCCTACACAAACAGGAACAGATTCTGCTGCCATACAAATGACCCTGCACACCTCCAGTGATCAGAACATTGTACCACTTGTTGTGAAAGACCTGTGGGAAACTGTTTGTACAGTAGTTCGTTATTTGGCAGTTGTAGCATCAACACCTAGGTTATTCCTTTCCTGCGTAATTGTCTTCCCCTTTAGGTCTTTATACACCCTCCTTCTTTCCATTCCTTCCCTCCTTGCTTGTTGACAAACATCTCAACATATACACCAGTGCGAGGTTGAGCAACTCTTCGGTAAATGCCACAGGTCTTGATTCGAGGCTGGTTAACTGTATGTTGGGTGCCAGGTTGAGCCACCCAAGCTCAACATGTTCGGATCCACTAATTCTGGAATAAGCTTCTGTCCTTTTTGTGCCTTCAACACGAAAGGGTCATGGCCACGCAAGGTCATGTGTTTGCAAGGGTGGATTTGTGAATTGATCCATTCGGGACACGTCCAGCCCCTTGTGTCCCACGGTCAGGGGTCATCTTTCGGCACATTGTTCACAAGTGCATCGCTACTAGTAAGAAGGCATTAACCGGGCATTACTACTTAGTAACAAGAAGCTACTAGAAGCGATGCCCTAGCTACTACTAGCAAGGTGCCTTACTAGTAGTAGCAAGAAGCTACTAGTAGTGATGCACTTGTTAACAATTATACGGAGGGCTTCAGTTGCAATTCCCGGAGTTTGCGTTCGGGCCGTTGCGGCAAAACCAGGGAAACAAAGCATTCAAAACTAATCATGCCAGCTGGACAAGATCTCTATCCTCCGTTGATCTGGAACATAAGACATACTTGGTCTCTTGGAAGTGGAACTCCATGACCAAGTGTTGCGGAACCAAGCCTCCAAACTGTGAAAAAAAACATCACCAAACTGTGAATTGTTCTGCGCAGGCTGCCTGAGGCAAGAGGCACAGCTCTGCCTCTTCGTTTCCACGGTTGTAGGCCGTAATTTGCACCTCAAACGCATGGAAAAAGGACAGGAGGAGAAGAGCTCCCTCTCTCTCTCTCTTTCTCTATTATATTTTAGGGAATTCAACGTGCGGCAAACATACCAACCTCGCGACTTGTCCCTTTTCTGTATGACGAAGCTGCCAGAGTGTCATCTGGTTCACCTTGAGCATACCTCAGAAACAAACCCAAAGACGAACACAAACGCAAAAGTCAGTGGAGCAGGTGCAGCGGGTCATTGGCCAAACCCAAACTGGTTTGGGACATTATTGTTTTAAACTTTCTTTGCACAAAGCTCAGGGTCAAACTCCACCACAACATCAAAATACTTGTCGTCATCCATGATTCCAGTGTCGAGCAACTCGTACTCCCTGCGGCGCTGCAAGACCATACAAGCACTTAGCAACCCGAATTCTATAATATACTTACACTTGAGATCGCCTTCTATTGTTTCTAATAGCTTCTTGTTACTAGTAGTAAGGCACTTGTTGCTAAAAGCGATGCACTTGTTACTAGTAGCTTAGGTGCTGATAAGCGACAAAAGCATCGGATCCTTCTTTCTTTCAAAGTTGACTCGTCGCAACTCGTCGTATGGAAACTCTGCCTGTTTGCGAAACATCACATGGACAGGTGACCATCAGCGTGTATTTCATTAAGTAAACTGCCAGTAGGTGTAGCAAGAACGCTAGCTCCTGGCATCGCTACTAGCAGCTCCTGGCATCGCTACTAGTAACAAGAAGCTACTAGTGACATTCCTTTTGTCTCAAGGCTCAGTGGCGCCAATGAGCACACCTGCGGATACTTGTACATCATCTTCATGTAGCTGTGTGTCGGCGTAGCATCCAAATAGTAGTACAGCTCCTCTGGGAATCGTGAGGACTTGTGTGTTCCCGAACCGAAGAATTTTGCTCTTGGGGTGCAAGCTCTGTCAGCTCTGGTCTTGGATTCATTTGCCCCTTGCTAGTAATTAGGTTGGAGGTCATCGCTCTTGGGTTCGAGGTGATCGCTTTTAGTTTTACTCCTTCTTGCTCGGCCGATCCTTGGCCCCGCTCATGTTTTCGTGGTGTTAAATTTGACGTAACAAGAAGCTACTAGGGGCTCCTGGCATCGCTACTAGGAGCAAGGGCCTTACTACTAGTAACAAGAAGAAAGTAATTAGAATTAAAAGTAATTGATTCTTCCTCCCAATCTGGATCGCTGAGTACCGACTCGTCTCAGTGCCTCCTAGAAGCTTCCTTTTGGATCTCTACTTTGCTCAACCCTGACACCACCCGTATAGTAGGGGTCTAGGTCAGGGAAGCTTCAGAGCTCCAAAGCTTCTCCTTCTCGATACTTCGCTACAAACTCCAGCAGCTATTAGTAGCAAGGACGCTAGTAAGTGGAGGCCATCGCTGGTAGGTTGGAGGCCATTGCTGTACACTTAGAGGTTTGCAAAGGACAAAGGGTTTATGGTAGCTTTTGACGGCAATTCTACCGTGTACCTATCCTGCTCCAAAGGTTCGGCACCAAAAAAAGGAGCGGTGAACAGCCTACAGAAATAAAAATAGAAACAATATATTTTTTGTTAGAATCGCAGTACGGTAAACAGAATGTTGTTAAAGAACGCCTCCTTTGCCCGGCATTACCTGGCTACGCCCCACCGCTTCTCCTTCACATCCTCGCCATGGTTGCCCTGAGGGTTTGAAAGCCCGTAGAGCCGCTCCTGGAAATCACGTAGTGATGATCGTTGATCGTGGCTTTCTGTTTTGCAGGTTCATCACTACGGCGTTCCTCCTAGCTGAGTCAGTCATCATTCAATTCTTGTGTCACAAATGAGTCTGCTGTTGCCAACAGTCTCACTTGGTGACCAACATAGGGTTTTCACAAGTTCTATTTTCTCGATGCGTCCTTGCTCCTAGTCGCGTCCTTGCTCCTAGTAGTAAGGCCAGGAGCCCCTAGTAGCGTCCTTGCTCCTAGTAGTAAGGCCAGGAGCCCCTAGCAGCATCCTTGCCCCTAGTTCTATTTTCTCAATGCAGCGTCAACGACTCCTCAGAACTTTACAACTAATTTTCCTACGCTTTGACCCGAGGTCAGCGCATTGTGCGCCTGCCGAATATGGCTAAAGTCAAAGGTGCTAATTGGTGGCACTTCGATCTTTCTACTTTGAATCCATTCTTGCATCTGTGACAAGTACTTCTGCCCTGTCTCAATCTCGTCTGAGAAGAAGCTCCTTAGGAAGAACTCAAAATCTTGCCTGCAAATTCGTCATCCCTATCAGAAATGGCCTGACACTCAAACCTTGAGAGAACTGTGTCGCCAATTGCCGGAGACGAACCTTTTCCAAAAAGCCAAACCAAAGATCCTACCAACCCCTTCCAATCTGGCAAATGCATGGCAAATGATAACAAGTCCTGGACTCACTGCTGCCCCCAAAAAGGACTTCGCAAAACGGTAGATGTTTCTAAACAAGAATACTTCCGCCCTTCTTAGATGGTAGGCTACTACTTCAATGCGGCGTCTTCGCGTACAGTACAGGTTTGATACCTCGCATGCTGGCGACATTTCCTGATTCATTGACCAACTTTGGGAGAACACCCGTTCGATGAAAGTCACCGCTCGCAATACGTTGAGTTATTCCTAAAAGCAATCCTCTGAACAAATTCTTGCACAGACCGTCACAGCCGCTTTAGCACTGTGTTCATAATTTTGCAATGCGCAATGCGGTGATGTATGGGTGGTGTGATGCGGTGCAGTGAAGTGTGGGTGGTCATCGCTAGTAGGCTGGAGGCCATTGCTACTAAGTTGGAGGCCATCAGGTTGGAGGCCATCGCTATTAGGTTGGAGTGATGTGACCTATGGCTCGTGCGGTGTGATTTGTGATGTGGTCGGGCGTAATCACTGGTGATGTGGCTAATGAAGTGGTGTGGTGCGGTCAGAAACCAAGTTTTGCTAGACTGAGCAAAATCTCCTCTTCCGAGATCCCGACTCATTCTCTTAACTGCCCTCTAGTACTCTCAACTGGTCCCCACTGCCCTCTTTAGAACTATCTGCCTTTGGATGCTGTTCTCCAGAAAGCTCTACTTACCTAGGACCTAGACGGTTTTCAAAATTCAACGTGTCAGTTCCTCAATGAAACAAGCAACTCCTGAAAGCCAGTATTCCCCGCTGTAAGAGCGAACACGATGCACACCAAACCCCGACCAAAAGGCCAGCGGACATGCCGCGGCCTCCTACGCAGCACCGGTCCCAAGACCGTTTACAGAACAGCTTCAACTAGGTCAGCAACAGCTGAAAGCGCGAAGTAGCTCCTAGTAGCTTCTTGCTCCTAGTAGTAAGGCCAAGAGCCCCTAGTAGCTTCTTGTTCCTAGTAGCGATGCCCTTTGCTCCTAGAAATAGCTTTCGGCTTTCACTATATAGCCAATTTTTACGCTTGGTTGCCCACAGTGCTAGTGCCTTTCCATGCCCTTCCCCGCCTACCGGCAATTCGGAAAAAAAAACACATTGTATAACCATGAAAGCACCAGATTGTGCTGCAAATTTGCTATTGAGTGGTTCATGATAGCAGCTGCCACAGTAGCTACAATTTTATCGATGTGAAGGACATGGAGATACATTCAAGCAAGACACTTTTCAGGTGCAACAAACTAAGACTGACCGTTCAGCTCTGGTCGCCCGCATTGAGTTGAAAATTAGCAAATAGCAAAGCCAAAGCACACCGAAGTGGGCAGCTCTTCATTAGAAGAACATAGAAGAACTAAGTGCCTTACTAGTAGGAACAAGAAGCTACTAGGAACAAGTGCCACGCTAGTAGTAACAGGTGCCTTACTAGTAGTAACAAGAAGCTATTAGGAACAAGCAAAATCACCACCACCCACCTCCAGGGTGGAGGACCCCGTCCAACTGAAATATTCCAGCTGGACCCCCTGAACAAAAACGAACAACATGAAACAAACAAAACACTTGATCGGTGTCAAAAACCGGTCTGCGATCTGTTCTACTCATGACTTGCTTCCGCCAATGCTTGCGCGGGGCTTCCGGCAAACAGTGGACTCACAACACATTGGTTTTGATTTGGAACCATATCCGTCATAGCGAAAGTTGACTTTAATAGCTCTCGAGAGAAGCTGCTTCAAATCCTCGATGCAGCCAACAGGGAACAATTTTGAAAGCTGCCTTTACCAGGTTGAAATTTGGACTTCGAAACTAAATCGATTCTCTAATTTGCACTTTTCCCATGTTATCCAGTTCCTGCACTGATGGGGAGGGGCGCATACGGGTGCGGCATTTGTCCGTTTGACTTGGTTTCACACGTCTTTTCTCACCCCCGCACCGTTCTTAGTAGTAACAAGAAAGCTAGTAGTAACAAGTGCATCGCTTCTAGTAACAAGTGCCTTACTAGTAGTAACAAGAAGCTAAAGAAGAAGCCCGAAAGGCAGTGCTCACTACGACACTACGACACCAGGGGGTGGAACTGAAATATGTCATCATTTTCTTGGGGGGGTACCCCTGGAAATTTTCGAGGGCTAGGAGGTGGGTATGAAAACATAAATTTGAATGCAACAAAGAGTGGAGGCGAAGTGTATGATTGTTAGAGAGTGCTTGTTGAGTTGCGTGCCGTAAATGCTCTTTGCACGTTACTAGTCCAAGGAGCAAGTTGAAACCCAGGACTGCTTTGGAGTCCAAAGTCAAAGACATGGGGTCCTCAGGAAGTCAAATGAGAATGCTGTGCCGTGGGGTCGACAAGTGATCAGCATGCCATTGAGACATGGGAGGACATTGGCAACATCTGCCGAGCAACAAAATGAGGTGTTCTGGCCAAATCTATGGCCATCCGAAGCCAATGAAGCGGGGAGAGCGTTCCCAGCGAGCTTCCGTCACACTTGGGCAAATTGGAGTGAAAGCCATACCTTCATTGGCAATCAGTCTATTTCAACAATCGAAGAGCGCAAAGAAAAAAGACAAGCCTTAAAAAGAAAAGAACACACAACATAAGAAAGAAACTAAGGAAAGAAGGACGGGAATAAATACTATTACTATTGTTCATTGTAAATTAAATAAGATCGTTTCATCAAAGGAAGTTCGTTGCAGTTCTTCAATGCAAGCTTGCAGTCTCTGAGCCCTGCACACGATAAGCCTGCCACTTCCTGATGCTTCTTCTGTCATCCGTATAGCATATCTTTGTTTTTCTTCTTGTTTTCTGTCATATCTTGCTTTCTTTGTTCCTTCCGCCTTTCCTTTTTGTAACCTTAGACCATCTCACCATACGCTACTGTCATTTACATTCTGGTCTCAGCAATTGAGCTTCTGACTGCTGAGTAAATCATACGAAACCTGCGCAAATCACTCAGGTCATTGAGCATCCTATGAGTTATCATGAGATATGTGTGTTGCCACTTCAACACCACAGCCATACTGCGCTCCTTCAAAGTGGCTACACCATTCGCATCGAACACTGCGCGGTATCCATTTGGTGCATGTTTTCGCGCGGCTTTTGCCTCAGAACAGGCTGAATTAGCATTGATGTCAAGTGGTTATCCATTGAAACACTGCAAGTCAAGGGCCACGACCCAATCTTCGTGTGATTTGTCAATGACAATATTTGCCTGCGAAAGGCAACAAGGACCGCATTGCGAAAGCCCTGGCGCACTCACATCAATGTGGCCCGGTTCCAGATTCCTGGCCTTGCATGAACGAACTTTGCTTTGGCTCCCAACGATACCAACAACGGTCAATCCATAAATGCGTAGAATCTGGCAAAGCATGTCCCCCACGCCTCCTGGCAAAGACTGCTCTGAATATTTCTTGAGTCTGGCAAAACATCTCAAATTGTTTTAGAATCTAGCGGCATTGAGTTCGCCGCCGGCAGCAGAGTGCACCAAGGCGAAATGACCTTCACACTTGGAATTTGAGTACATCACGTTTGAAGAATCTATCTTGTACTTGCTTGCAGTGTCTTGCAGTCATCCTCCCTCCAACTTGCTCTGCCTTGGCCGATTAGCGTAGGAACTCCCGCCTCAAACCAGCATTGTTTTCAAACACAAAAACACAAAAACAATAACTAAAGTAACAGGTGCCTTACTAGTAGTAACAAGAAGCCATTAGGAACAAGTGCCACGCTACTAGTAACAGGTGCCTTACTAGTAGTAACAATGTTTGCTATTAGAAACAAACATATTAAGATGATTGAAATGCGACCAGTAGAATCCTCGAGTTCCGAGGCGATGGCGAGATTCACAGCATGCTGCGCAGTTAGCAAAACAGTTGGAAGTGCCGCAGCGGACTCAAAAGTCATGTCTTGAGGCATCTTCATCACCTGCCAATGCGGCACCACCACACCTGGGCTCTAAGAATATCACATGGCCAAATGAAACACGTGCGCAAAGGGAACAACATTTGTTGCTTCTATAGTTACCAGAAATCGTTTATTGTTACTAGTAGCAATGTCCTCCAACCTAATAGCGATGGCCTGTTTAATGTCAAGATAGGCTTGATAGATCCCCTTCCAAACCGAGCCATCTTCATTTTGTCCACTTTGCCTTCTGCCACTTATTTTTTCACATGCCACCTAAAAGGCCAACGGACGTGCTGGACCTTCTAGCGAGGGTATAGTTGCCCATGGTGTTTAATGAGTTCCTTAAACGACTCAGCACGTTGCCAACGAGTTGCGAGAAGCATAAGCACCGAAGAAACTGCATCCGAAGACTCGGTCTCCAGGAGAAAAACCAGAATCCGCACCAGCGATCTCGATTTCCCCTCAAGTGGCAGTTGATGTTTGGTCTCCGGTTGCGCATGGTCGCGCTCAGCTAAAATGATTGACCAATTGGTCTAGTTCCTGTTGGCAGTCGATGGTTTTGGTTGGCCTCCAGCAACTAGCGCACAGTAGAGGCTCTTTGAGGCATTACGGATGTGGCGTAAGGCCTTGCAGTTTCACTCTGTGCTCCCGCCTGCTATGTCAAAGCCAGGGATGATCGGCCACCCAACATAGCGCAGAGCTGATTCATAAAGACCCCATCGAATGCAAATGTCCGCATAGTTCACGCTGAAGGCCTGCAAAAACCCTAGCTACTAGTAACAAGTGCATCGCTACTAGTAGCAAATAGGTACTAGTAGCAAATAGCTACTAGTAGCTTCTTGCTCCTACTAGCGATGCACCTTGTTACTAGTAGCTTCTTGTTACTAGTAGTAATGCCAGGAGCTCCTAGTAGCGATGCCCTTGTTACTAGTACCGTTCAGAATGGATGCAAGGTTGAGAGAAAATAAAAGCTGTGTTTTTGTACTAATAGCTTCTTGCTACTAGTAGTAATGGCCTCCACCCTACAGTAGTAGCGATGGCCTCCAAGCGACTGGCGATGGCAAGGTTCTCAAAAATGTTCAATTTCTCAGAATTCATCAGTCTTTTTTCATTAAACCGGGAACGCGAGGGAAAAAGGTGCGTCTTGAACATACAGTTGAACGTTGGCTTTGCTGGTGTCACTTTCCTTGAATTGTCTCGGGACCGGACCCTCGAACACCCTCACTGTAACGGGTGTGGCCAGTTTGTTGCGATACGATCGATACGTTGGGATTGTTGGGTTGGGTCTCTCTCTGACTCTATACTTGTTGCAGAAACCTAACAGAATCTCAATTGCTTCTAGGCTGGAGACCATCGCTATCAGATTGTAACCTAACAGATTGTATTTCAAGAGATTGTGGCAAGGGCTCGAGCATGCTGTGTCACAAGTCAAGCTGGGCTAAGCTTGATAGCCCTAGCGCCACATGGGCACGCCTTTCTAAATGTTCTCGTTGATGGCGCATAGATAAAACGATTCCTCTGCTGTTAGCCCTGCAGATCTCGCAGATCCTTTCGTTGTTTCCTCCGACGGCGCCTAGTGGGAATGGCCAACCCATCGATCAAAGGTGGAGCAACTCTAAGCTCATAGTAGCCCTCCAAAGTTGTGCCCCTCTTGTTACTAGTAGCGATGACCTCCACCTAGTAGCTTCTTGCTACTCATTGAGTGGCAAAGTACTTCTTGCAAGCGGGCAGTGCTCTTCAATGGCTATTGAGGTCAGCGCTGCCTTCATCGCCTAACTGGCTAGGTGAGTATGTTTGTACCCTTGTTGGCAAGATCGCGATGAATTTAGAAGTGAGGCGCACTTCGCGCACTTTTGAATTCAAGATCGCTGCACTTTCCTCAACCTTTTAGCCTTAAAGGAAGTTCTTTTGTCGGGGGG